TTTTTTTTTTTTTTTTTTTTTTTTTTTTTTTTCCCCTTTAAAAATGCCAAAAAAAAAAAAAAAAATGTCTTATTAACATCAAAAGTTGCGGTTAGAGAGAAAAGACGAGAAAAAAACAAACAAACAGAAAAGAATGCAACAATATCAATAACCACTGTTGCAAACCTCTTACATTATAAAAATTTTTCCTCTAAATTTTTTGTGCAAAAATTTAGACTTCTTGTTTTGAAAAAAAAAAAAAAAAAAAAAAAAGGATAACTGACAACTGTGAAACGAATATCTGCGGTTAAACAACACAGTACACTAATCATCACCTAAGAAATCTATTGATAGCCATTTTTGCATAACCTTTTACACTGATTGGCAAAAAAAAAAGAACGAATTTGGAAGGAAGAATCTATCAGACGCACTCTCACAAGACAGAATCATTTTCAACTTAAAAATGAATCTTAAATACAATTCTGAAGCTGTTAAATTCTCTTTAACAAAGTTCAGTCTCCCCGCAGCAAATGTACCATCGAACAGCTTTGTTGAATGACCGTCAATACGCCTGAGGTTGGTATTTGGAGCCATAAGGCAGTGGCCGATGTTACCGTTGGTTTTTTAGGGTTAGTTGACTTGTTGCCAATCGCAGCTAAAAAGCTTGACTAGACGCACTTGCTGGATCCTAATTTTTTTCGTAAATGCATGTTTTTTTTTTGCTTTTTTATGCACATATCAACAGTTAAACGGTTATGTTGTTGGTAAAATTCTCCGGAATACACAACATCTCACTGTTGAAATTTTGTACTTCTCTGATACCGATACCGTTGTTGTTGCTGTTGATGTATACTCGCGTTCAATCCTAATTTTATGTTCAAGAATACTGTCGGGTAAATGAACTTGTTTTGGGAACGACTTGCGCAACTTTGGCGCAGTGCCACTGCAGTGTAAAAAGGTACCTCTACGTTAAGCCAACGGACTCCGGAAAGGTATGCATAACTTTTGTATTACGCGTGTGTATGACGTGTAACAAAGAGCTTTTGTTTAAAAGTGTTTAACCTGTTTGTTTTTGGAATTTCATGCTTTTTGACCTGCATTCTGCTGAGATTTTAGAAAAAGTCTGAGAGCGTTTTTGTTTTTGTACACATTGCCTTTTAACTTAGTTACTTCAATAACTCAGTAAGTTGCGCGGAAACAGCTGTCAGTTTTCCCTATTGTAAAATTCTACATAGTTAAGAGTCATAGAATGAGTATGTGAGAAGAAATTATAGGGTCTGGACCACGACGAGGAAGATACGCTGTCTTAAAGTGGTAGTTCAAAAAAATCTCATTTACCAAAAAGTAATAAAATGTACAAAAATTGTAGTAGAAAAATAATAAATAGTGAAAAAAAGAATTAGGCTATGAAAGAGGGACAGCAATACTATCATTGTAATTTTTTTTTTTGCACGTTTTTGGAAGGAGAATGGTTCTTTTTT